TTTTTTTTCCACATTCCCCCAATCCCAGTCTGCAGGATCTGACATTGTATAACCCAGAGCGCACCATCACCGTCAAGGGTACATTAGAAGCTTGCGGAAAAGCAGAAGAAGAAATCATGAAGAAAATCCGTGAGTCCTATGAGAATGACGTAGCTGCCATGCATGTAAGCCTGCAATGACTTTCCATCTTTATTGTAAAATTGCGTACAGCACAACAACTTCATCTCATGAAAAAAATCTCTGCCCTCTTATTCCCCTAGCTACAATCTAACCTGATTCCAGGGCTCAATCTGAACGCGTTGGGTATTTTTCCCGGTGCAGCGAGTGGAGGGATGTCACCTTCTGTGGTATCAGGACCTCCAGCTGGGGCTCAAGCTGGCTATCAATCATTTGGGGTAACAAAATTGGAATAAAATTGTGCTTGTGTGAGATGTTTGTGTTTGGTGTACACTTATGAGTGGGGAACGCATTCATTTATGTAACGGCAAAATGTGAAGTGGGTGCCTACAAGTCTGTGTGTGTGGGAGTGTGCGTGTTAATGTGTGTGTTTCTCCCGTAGTGCAGCGTGTTTGGGGGTGAGGTGCCATTTTGGGCCTCTACACTCTCCTCCAGCAACAGCATAGCCTTTTCTGTAAGTTTTTATTTGTTACCCACCATGCACTGCATGGCTTGGCTGCTCGCTACTGGATTGGCTGAAGGGACAAACGTCTGCTCCCAGATTAGTCGCTGCCAGGGGGGTGTCGCTCGGCCTCCACAGCTAACAGAGATGCTGAAATGCTGTGGGTCTGATGTTTAACACGTAACGGGGACGTAGACCTAAAGTGCTTTGTGTGTGTGTTGGTGATGGGTGAATAAATGTTGTCAAGTTTGCAGTTAGATGGGAAGGGCATGAATAACATGAGTTAGACTAACCCATCAACTAGGATGAAATGCACAGGTGTGTCTCATTGAGTAATTTTACATGGACAACAATATTCCGATTTTAACACCTTTTTTTTTTTTACCTTAATCCAGCTAAAGTCATATTCGAAGTAAACACAAATCGAATTAAGACTTTTGGAGTATTCCCATTTTAGTCACATTATTGAAGTGCAGTATAGACATGTACACCTTAATCACACTATTACCGTCGCATAGGACTTTTCGCCGCATTTTGCAACAGGATACACACACGGCAGTGGTCAACTATGGCGCGTACTCGGTGCCAAAATCAAACGTCCGAACAACCGACCGATCGAACGTCTTGTACTTTGAGCGTCTTACGGAGCAGGTGACCCACGTGACGACCTGACGCGATGTCAGCGTCTTGAACTTAGCTGGTTTTTAAACATGTAAAGAGACATGCTGCTGTGTTAAGGCTATAAATGGACTTTACAGGCAATACATATAGATATTGTTCACCAAAAAGAACACTCAACCATTTCCTGCATCTTGCAGTACTTCCCTGAATGAGTCTTTAAAGAAAGGTTTAATAGGCTTAAAAAGGTTTAAGGCTATGCTAAGTCCTTCTGAGTAATAAACTGATAAAGCTCCCACCTGTAGGCTATCTTGACTTTCTCTGTATACCATGACAGAAGGATCTAATGTTTTGCTTTCATTTGTTTAAAAGCGACATTTTTTTTTACTTTTAAAGACCAGACATACTGTACATACAACCAATACTTTTAATTTGTGTCTTTGTATTTTTCCGTATTTTATTCATACATGTATCATTTTAATATAATCTTTTACCCTTTTTAAAAATTTTTTTATTATTTTTTATTATCAAACGTATTAATTTAGTATTGTCTGCTTTGTTACAACTTAGATTTAGAATTGAGAAGATAAAGAGTTTAAATGTCAAAGTCTTCAATGTCATTTGACCATGCTGTCATTAATTGTCCATTGACATTAGTAACAAATTGAGAAAGATGCAGTTAAGTTTATTCAATAAACGCATTAATTTTTACCATGATTTCGTCTCTGGTGACTCTTCTGATAGATAGATAGAGAGAGAGAGAGAGGTCTTGTCAAAACTGGATCTAATATGCATTTTCACTGCCTCATGTTCTCATCTTGTAATCATATCATTGAATAGGCATACCTAAATTGGTTCGCAGCATGATTAGAATGCATTATAATTGTCTCAAATCATTGTGAATATAAATGAACACTTTATCCTAGTCTGTAAACTTGTATATTTTAAAGGGGTCATATAATGCGATTTCAAGTTTTCCTTTCTCTTTTTGATATTTACTTTGAAAGCTGACGCCCGTGATTATGGTAAGGGGCGTTACATTTCCGACGCGTGCTTGTGTTCGGCCAATCACAATGCACTGGGTCAGCTGGCCAATCAGAGCAGACTGCGCTTTTTTTTTTAACATTAAAGCATGTCAACATATTCTGTTACACCAAATACACAAAATAATGATCTTTAAAATGGCATCATATGACCCCTTTAATATCAGAAACAGTGTTAATAATAGTTAGATGCCAGATTTATTATAAATTCATAGCTTTATTTGTTTCTGGATAATCTGGATTTTTTTCAGGTTCTCCTACGATTCTGAAAACAAAACAGATAACTAAACAAAACAACGTAATTTACTTGAGGTTCTGCTATAAATGTGTCTATTAGAAATATTTATCAATTTAAATGAATTAATTATACAAAAAAATCCCTTGAAATTAATGAAGACTTGTTTCGTCCTGAGTTTTTGAACGGATTTCTTGATTGACTGATACAATGATACATGAAATACATCGCCACCTAGTGGAATGTAATACAATCTTTATTTGAAGCGTAACATTAGTTTCAAAGGTCATTTACTCATTTTGATCATGTGTAGACTATAGTAGAGGTCTACACGGGTCCAAAGATTCGTACCCGAACCCGAAGAGACCTGTAAATGTGCTACACTGAACCGACGTGGACTGTCAATTATTTGAAAGATGGACCCGAACCCGGCCGGGAAGACGACAGACCCGACTGGACCATCTGAGCGCATAAATTGGTTGTTCAATTTGCGCAGATCTATCAGCGTCTGACTTAAACCAGCTTACATGTCAAAGTAGCGCAAGAGCAATTCGTAGCAGACGCTGATTACGGTCATCGCAGTTTCTCCAGTGGGGCGGCACAAACTGTGATGACCGCTAATTCACGATTTACCAGTGTATTTCACACTCGCTGTATTTCATGTCGTGCTTTAATAGGGTTACAAACTCTTTTATAATTAGTGCTATAGCGTATTGTGCCATGTTTATCAAAATAAAACCGATAAAAACTTGAATTTACACACAAGGCACATTGTTCTAATTTTGCCAACATTTCTTTCATTATTCTTAAAAGTAATGTAAATATGGTGGCCTGGATGAGACTACCGGCCTGGCTGAAATTCTGTCCCAGACCTGCAATAAAATAATTATTTGTAATATTTGTGGCTTGAAACGGCTGGAGATTTTAAAGTGTAGGCCTATTGCAGTTCTGTGGATGTTTTGCCATTTAGGTAGGTTTATTAAAATTTAATTAAAACTAACATTTATGTTAATTGAAATAAAGCTGAAATAAAATAACAAAAAATATAAGCAATTATATGAACAGAGAAAACCGAATAATTCACAGATTAACAAAACGAAAGAAAAACTGCTACAAGTTCTATATGCCCCTTTCTGTCCTTTTTTCTAATGCTCAAGTTCACGGAAAGGAAATCAATAGGCTACGGCGGAAAGCGACATCTGTTTTCTTTATTTTGAAAAGCACAGTGTTTTGTTGTTATTGTGACTGTACACAAATAAAAGTAGACCCTTTATAGTTTCATAATGATGTCTCAGACTTATTTTTGTTTCTGCTGTCGTAAGGAACAAATTCAAGTGATCGCGCAGGCGCCTCAATCGTGCACACATCATTTACCCACCAAACATTGCGCATGTGATATACGTGCACTGGAGTGAGTATCAAAGGATATTGAAATGCCCCCTAGTTATGCCATCCTGGCCCCGGGCCTGTTTCAAGCACCGACTTTCAAAACCAACCTGCTTAACACAAAATACTTTTCTTCTCATTTGTTTCGCTATGTGTGGGCCACAAGAATAATATTAAGGGAATAGCCTAATTTAAGACAATTATACCGTTATCAGCATATTTTGAAGTAGATTAATCTCTCGTCAACTCTGAGAGAATATGTGCCGTTAATGCAGTGTCAGATGCCGAAATTCCGTCAGTTTTTACTTTTTTTACATTCACTTTCTGAATATTGACTGAGGTTAATAACTCCGCATAACTCTTGTGCAAAGTTTGCACCTTGCTTGTGTGGTCCATTGGCTCGCTTTCATTGTTTAAAACGGAAATATTTCCAATTTTTCTACGCAACCAACCTCCTCCAGACCATAAACTTTTATCCCAATACTTTCGTTATTATTTAATGTTTGCAACACAGAAATAGCAATCTTCTAATGATTAATCGTGCATACGAGCCTATGTTTTGCATGTCAAATTTGTAACGGACCTTAAAAGTAACCCGTAAAGTAAATCCATGCTATCCGTGCCATTTTATCCAATTTATTGCCTTTTTTGGAGGACAAATTGGTCTCCCAATGTTCCTCGCTTGTAAGTTGCTTTAATAGTAACATGCATGAAAAACAAATACAAAATATCAAACAAATAACTAACAATTAACTATTAAAAAGTGGAAAGTTTATATTTTATAACCTCATTAAACATCTATAAAAACTCACAGATTCTAGCAGTTCATGAGAACATATTGAAAAGTTTTTACCTTAAATGTAAGAGCAACTGTCCACTGTAAAGACTCCTGGAATTTGAATGTTAAACTTGTTTGTTTATTTGACAAAAAAAAAGTGAATACACTCTATTCGTCAAGGATAACACAATAAAGGATAACATCAAAGTAGCTATTGACTAATATAGGTTAATTTGTTGAACTATTTTGATATTGAACAAAGTAATAAGAAAAAAAAAAATTTCTTAGTGTTTTTAAACCTGAACCTGTAATGACAACTCCCAATATTTATAATTTTTGGCAGACAATTTTTTTTTAATTGCTGTATAGTATGTAGTTTAATATTCCTGACATATGACGGTGTCAATTTTTGGGATTGTAACCTTTGTTGGAAAAGTAAATAAATTATTTAATTGTTTGATTATGTTATATATATAACACTGTGAACATTGTATGATACTATAAACAATAAAAACGTACAGTATGTCTGCTCTTAAAGAAAAACACATACTCAAGCACAGGATTCAGAAAAAATATTTTAGTGTTGTTTTAGGTGAACAATATATGTATTGCCTGTAAAGTCCATTTATAACCTTTACACAGCAGTATGTCTCTTTACATGTTTAAAAACCAGCTAATTTGAAGACGCTGATGTCACGTCAGGTCGTCACGTGGGTCACCCGCTCAGTAAGACGCTCAAAGTACAAGACGTTCGGTTTGACGGTCGTTCAGACGTTTGATTTTGGCACGGAGTACGCGCCATAGTCAACGGTTTAACGGCAAACAAAAGAACATGGCTTCAACAACTCCCTCGTCTGTTTGCACTAATAGCATGACAAATATTAAACTGCACTTGAAGCTTTTGTAAAATTACAAATGAAACACCAAAAACTGTATATGGCATCATCACGAAGAAGACAAACTATGTTTATACATGAAATTCTGGAGGGGACGTTGGATGGCGTCACGTGGTGACATTAAGGACATGTGCCGTTAATTGAACTATGTACTATAACATGTAAAACAGGAACATGAAAGGAATATTCTAAAAGCAACTCAAGCAATCTTCTAATGATTAATCGTGCATACGAGCCTATGTTTTGCATGTCAAATTTGTAACGGACCTTAAAAGTAACCCGTAAAGTAAATCCATGCTATCCGTGCCATTTTATCCAATTTATTGCCTTTTTTGGAGGACAAATTGGTCTCCCAATGTTCCTCGCTTGTAAGTTGCTTTAATAGTAACATGCATGAAAAACAAATACAAAATATCAAACAAATAACTAACAATTAACTATTAAAAAGTGGAAAACATTTAAGCATGATCTTTTATTTCAAGAACTAAAGAGAAAAATATCAATATTTATACAATCTCAATAAAATTACTAACGTTAAATTATTGTCATTAAGGCCTAATCAGATGACTCTGTAAATTCTATAAACAGACTAAACTTTCTAATTAAGGTTCGTTAATTTTCATGTCTGCCACATACAAACAATGAGCTAAAACTAAATTATTGATCATTTTCATAAAATCATATGTAATGCGTTCCTACATGTGCGAACGTGTTAACGCGTTCCTATGGCAACTGGTCAAAGTGCGAGTAACCGATCGTGTTCCCAACGTGTTTACGTGTAAAGACGCGTTGTAACACGTTTGTGTTTTTCTTACCTTAATGTAAGTTCTTGTGCTTCAGTTGTGTTCTCCAAATAGTCAACATTTGATTATTGCAATCGCTGATTTAGAAAAATGTGCAGTGTATTAAAGTTAAACAAAGCAGCAGAGGCAAAACATGCATTGCCGGCTAATTTGGAAAAGCACAAGATATTCCACTTAATTTTTCTCGATCTCCAATTAAGACTAAAGTTTCAGGAACGAACATCTAATTTCAGAATGTTTCATATTTAATAGAAATATTACCATACATTCAAATGCAGTGAAATCTGCAACTATAGTATCGTGTGTGTGTGTGTGTGTGTGTGTGTGTATGTCCCACAAATTCTTTGGTTTTCCAGCATTTTTGTGTATTTGAACCCTTTCCAACAATGACTCTTAATGCTCCCTGGCTCTTAATGCATCGTTTTTTCCTTATGGAGCATCAGTGAGCGTTTGAAGCTTCTGTAATAGTTGCATATGAGTCTCTCAGTTGTCCTCTTGTTGTTGACTATGTAAAAATTTTTTATGTGAAATATCTTATTCGGGTCAGTACTAAATAAACAATAACAAGCATTTTGTATGATCCCTATTATTTTGGTAAAATAATGAATGAGTAGTTAGTTGACTGAGTGAATGTTTTCCCAGGATGTCTTGTGGCATATTCTCTGGATGTGTCTCCATAAAAGCAGATTTATTTGGTGTTGAATGTGTGATCATAACTCATCATAAGTGTATTTGTGTCAGCAGGCACAGGTGGAGTCGGAAACCGTGCACCTCTTCATTCCTGCTCTGGCAGTTGGTGCTATTATCGGCAAGCAGGGCCAGCACATTAAACAGCTCAGCCGCTTTGCTGGTGCATCAATCAAAGTGAGTGATGGCAAGCATGACCTTTTATGACCCTGATACTGTTTGCTAAACGTAATAGTTTTAATTTTTCTATTTTCCTATGCTGTAGCAGTGTTTAAGTTTAAGATCTGTCATTTTTGTCGGGATAGATTGCACCTGCTGATGGAATTGACACCAAGCAAAGAATGGTCATTATTACTGGACCACCAGAGGCACAGTTCAAGGTAAAAATGTTGTGACATTGTATGTATTGAGACATTGTATGAATATTCACTCATTTGATTGTATATTCATGCATTGATTCTCTGTGCTGCTTTTCTTAGGCTCAGGGACGTATCTTTGGGAAGTTAAAAGAGGAGAACTTCTTTGGACCGAAGGAAGAGGTTAAATTAGAGGCTCACATAAAAGTGCCATCATTCGCCGCTGGCAGAGTCATTGGCAAGGGAGGCAAAACGGTAAATGGCCACTTTACATTTGTAACATCAATTGTTAGTGCTCATGTTTGCTTTACAGATGCATTTATCCTCAGCATTCATAGCTGCTCCGTGTTTCTCTTTAGGTGAATGAACTACAGAACTTGACCAGTGCAGAGGTGGTTGTCCCGCGGGACCAGACGCCTGATGAAAATGACCAAGTAGTAGTAAAAATCACAGGCCACTTCTATGCAAGCCAGGTGATTGAGCTGCTAGACATATTAGAGCTGCAGAAAATGGCAATTAGATTACTGATGTCCATGTAAACGTAGTTATTGTGTCTATATCGGCTAATTAGTATCTGTGTTGTGTCTATTGCCTATTGTCAAGAGACTTGACTTGAGTTGTTCTCAAGTTTAATATTTGCTCAATTGACATTGGTAGATTTATATAAAATAAAAACAAAAAGACCCCCAAATAGCTGGTCGATATAAATGTGAAAAACATTATTGAAAGTAACAATACAAGGGAGATTAATTAAAATCGTCTTTTTTCTATGACCATTTACATCCCCTGACTTTTTTTTTTTTTCAACTGTTATGCCTTTTTTTAAACCTCTTCATATGTAAATTGAGCAGCAGCAGTTTGCAGTGGTTTGATCTCAACTGTAATGCAAACTTAATTTTTTATTTTTGTATTTTTGCTGGTGTGCCTGTTTAATAAATGCCTCATTAGATGTGACTTTAGCAGCTTTGTTCAACAGCAGTTATTTTTTTATTTTTTTTGGCATTCAAATACACACATCTTATGTTAAACCCATACTTAATTTATATTCACAAAAAGTGGCGAATGGAATGAATTTACCCTTAACAAATTCATAGGAAATTAATCCAGTTATAAATCAAATATCTATTATTCTTTTTCGTCTCCTTATGTATTTAAGGAAAATAAAAATGACCATATTGTATATACAAGTTGTAGAATTGATCACACAAGACTTACTCATGTATGTTTATTGAAAGAATTGATTTTATATGATTTTTCTAATTCTTCATTGACTTTATGGTCCTGCTTTAAATGATGCTTGGACATGTTTTTACTAAAAGTACATTAACATTTTTGAAATTCTTCTGGGAAAATACTAGAACTATTAAATATTATTCTTAAAGTAGCATTTAGTTTTGCTTTTTAAAAGTAATGTATAGAATTCATTGCAGTAAGACTTTTAAATCTTATTATTTGAGTCTGCATTTGGAGTACAATTAATTTTGCACGCGTGCGTCACAGATAAGAACAGACTGAATTAGGCAGTTTATTAAAAATATTCTACCAAAACTGTTATAGTATCTCTCCTACATGTATTATCTCACTATAACTGGGTGAGCAGATTTTCTGGTTGTTGAATAGGCAGGGTGTTTATATCCGGTTAACATCAGGATCGTGTGAGAATGAGCTGTTTTTGCAGCGTATTTGGAATAAATGGTGCTTTTGGTTTGGGATGGGTGAGTTATGAACCTGGCAATATTTCCAAGCCATGTGAATTCAAAAGATCAAGTCTTGATTCCTCGTTGTAACCTCTGTTGATAGTGAATAGGTGACTTGTTAAAAAAAATGTTTTTTGAATAGTTAATTGACTGTGAGTGAATGTTTCCCAGGATGTTGTTTGTCTGTTTTGTTGTATGTTCTCTGGATGTGTCTCCATAAAAGCAGATTTATTTGGTGTTGAATGTGTGATCATAACTCACCATAAGTGTATTTGTGTCAGCAGGCACAGGTGGAGTCGGAAACCGTGCACCTCTTCATTCCTGCTCTGGCAGTTGGTGCTATTATCGGCAAGCAGGGCCAGCACATTAAACAGCTCAGCCGCTTTGCTGGTGCATCAATCAAAGTGAGTGATGGCAAGCATGACCTTTTATGACCCTGATACTGTTTGCTAAACGTAATAGTTTTAATTTTTCTATTTTCCTATGCTGTAGCAGTGTTTAAGTTTAAGATCTGTCATTTTTGTCGGGATAGATTGCACCTGCTGATGGAATTGACACCAAGCAAAGAATGGTCATTATTACTGGACCACCAGAGGCACAGTTCAAGGTAAAAATGTTGTGACATTGTATGTATTGAGACATTGTATGAATATTCACTCATTTGATTGTATATTCATGCATTGATTCTCTGTGCTGCTTTTCTTAGGCTCAGGGACGTATCTTTGGGAAGTTAAAAGAGGAGAACTTCTTTGGACCGAAGGAAGAGGTTAAATTAGAGGCTCACATAAAAGTGCCATCATTCGCCGCTGGCAGAGTCATTGGCAAGGGAGGCAAAACGGTAAATGGCCACTTTACATTTGTAACATCAATTGTTAGTGCTCATGTTTGCTTTACAGATGCATTTATCCTCAGCATTCATAGCTGCTCCGTGTTTCTCTTTAGGTGAATGAACTACAGAACTTGACCAGTGCAGAGGTGGTTGTCCCGCGGGACCAGACGCCTGATGAAAATGACCAAGTAGTAGTAAAAATCACAGGCCACTTCTATGCAAGCCAGGTGATTGAGCTGCTAGACATATTAGAGCTGCAGAAAATGGCTAAATGTTGTCATTTTCTGATGTTAAAATACTTTCTCTGATCCCAGCTTGATGGCAAAAACAGCAAATAAGTCATTTGTAAGTGTTGTTGTCATGCCAAACTTTTGATGTGGAGTTCAAAATGAATCCAACTTTTTATTCATTTTATTAGTGATAATGTATTATATGATTATTGAATATGTATTTGTGAAATACTGTTATTAAATGTATTTATGGTCACACTTTAAGGTCAAATTCTCTGCATTAACAAACCATTAACTTCGACTTTTGCCTCAAACTCCTAATTTGTTGCTTATTATTAGTTAATAAGGTAGTTTTTAAATTTAGGTATTGGAAAGGATTAGGGATGTAGAATATGATCATGCAGAATGTGCTTAATTAGCACTAATAAACAGCCAATATGTTAATAATAGGCATGCTAATAAGCAGCTAGTTAATAGTGAGAATTGGTCCCTATACTGAAGTGTTACCATATTTACGTTTCTGATTGGCCATTGCATTCAAGAAATCAACAGATATGTCTGTGTTTGGCTACGTTGTTCAACACTGCAAAAACATGTTGCAAATAGTATCTAAAGCCCAAGGTGCCCCTGCCAATAGTAATGTAATTATTTATTAATTTTTAGCGTTATTATGATAGGACAGTTATTAGATAGGAAGCGAAGTGGGAGAGAGGGGGGATGGGATCGGGAAACATCCGCGAGCCAGTACTCGAACTTGGGACGCCCGAAGCACAACGGCGCTATATGTCGGCGCGCTGCCCACAAGGCCATTGGCGCTTACGTAATTAATCATTTAAATGATGATTTAAAAATGTAGTAATAGTAGTAGTAATTAATATTTACTACTACTACTACTACCCCCCACACACAGCTTTGTCCAATATATAATCACTTTAAAATTTTTGACTTCGTTTCCATTTATTGCTTAAGTATTTTAATGGTTGTGTGTTAATTGTGCTGTTTGATTTGAGTAATTTTTTTCTGCTTTGTTTTCTTTCATGTGTACCAGCTGGCCCAGAGGAAGATCCAGGAGATTATCTCTCAGGTGAGGCGGCAGCAGCAGCCCAAGGCCTCGGCCACAGGTCCACCAGTCGCCCGGAGGAAATAGAGCCACTGCGTCTTCTCAGGAGACTGAAAGGACACGGGACGCGTCCATCTCAGGGGTCAGGGAATGTCCTTACAACCCCGCCCGCTTTTACACCCATTCCGCCTGAACTTGCCTTAATAGGGTAACTGCACAGACCTTAATTGACAGATGCTGAACTTTGTTTTGGTTATGAGTTTATTGGGAAATGCAGCATTTGAGTGTAAAAGGGTTTTCAAGCCTGTTTTTGGGGTAAGGAATGGGTGACACAGGGTGGGGTTTAAGGTCTTTGGCTTGAGATGGAAAGAGGATTGTTGACGGAAGTAAGCTGTCCTGGGATCCAGTGGCATTTTATAAATTCTGATGCATTTTATAGATGAATAGATATATATACATATATAAAATTATGAAAGAAGGTGGAGCAACACTGCCACTTATGACTGAGGGAAGTGTTGATTGGTGTTGGCCAGGAAACCAAGTTAATATGCATTTTACTGATCTACCTCAGGCTAGAGTACCTCAGAAAAAAAGAAAATGATATATGAAAAAAGTTCTGTTCTTTTTTTTTTTATTTTGCTTTGTGGTATTTTGTATACTTTATAAAGCTAATAGTTCTTGAACATTTTTATTTTTTTAAGAAAATGTAAAATTGAGTCTGTAGTTAACGGATGATGCTCGAATTCCGCCTTGCTCCTTTTGACGCGCGCCATGAATAACTACTGTATATATACACGTTTGCGCGCGTCGCACGAGTGAAAGAGCGGAGTTTGGGCTTCTGTGTAAGCTACAGATAGGAGAAAGAAAAGAAAAGCGCCTCAGTGTCGCTGAGGAGCCACCACCCTCTGAACACCGTCAAGGTAATGAGAAATAACGCCACCCGTACATACCGCAGCAATGCGGTGCTAATAACTGTCTCGGCGGTAGCAGACGTTTCACCCGCATTTCATTACACTTCAGTCAGGGTTGGATGCAAGCAATAGAGGTCAGGGATAAGCAAGGTCCTGTTGTAACCTCTTTGACACCCCCTCATCCTCGGCGCGATTAGTTGTCTATCAAATTAAAATAACGACCAGCCCGAGTGAGGTTGTTTTTTCTTTTCCCGTGCTCATCGTTTTTTTCCTCACTTTCCTTTTCCAAATAACGCGATCCGTTTGGTCTTGGGACGGGCTTTTTTTTTTTTCACAACAAACTGGGCTTTACATGCCGAAGATTTTCAGTGTTTAACGTCAGTCAATGCATGTCAGGGGTTCGGGGAGTTACACTGTTCTGATGCTTTTGCGTTGATAGCTATAGGTTACAATAGTCAAGGGCGAACGGTTTCATTTATATCTTTCGTTTATCATTCAAAGTGGAAAAAAAGCAAAAAAATATATATAAAATGAACTTTAGCAAAGAAAAAACGTTTAGTAAAGAAACTGAGAAACCAATATTCCTTTTGTTTTCATGCAGAATGTAAATATGATTTGATTATGGTAAAAGAGTGCATCCACGCTTCCACACTAGTAAGGCCATTGTCTACCTCAGCTGAGGAAAGGGTGGGCTCCGTCTCTCCTGAGACCTCCAGCGCGCGCAGCGATACCTCAAGTCCCTCGCGAACACTTCCGCACTGGGTACGCGCGTGGCGCCGAGCGCTGACCAGAGGGGCACAAGTGATCGTTTTGTTTTTCTTTCCACCCTTCTCTTACACCGTTTTTGATCTACCTCTTATTAGAAAAGTATTTAAATTAGAGGCATATTGCTATGTGTTAGAATCTATAGGGTCATGTTCCATCTGCCCCTTTCCTCACACACAAAAAAAATATATCATTTAAAAAAAAAAATCATGTATGGCTAGACTTTAAAGATGAGTGAGAAAGTGATTTCGTTTTTGCCTGCAATTTATTCTCCGCTAACTGATTTGAAACCTCACCTTATTGCTTTTTTCTTCTGCTTCTTGGTTTGGTGGTGTGGCTTCCTTGTATTGGGCTTTATTTCTTGCATAAGTATTGTATTAAAAGTCAAAGTGTTTATTTGGGATCTGATTAATGATGGCTATAGAAAAGTTTGTTTTCAAGGGCCTGCTTCATTTCTTGCTTATGAAATATGAACAATGAAGTCTTTATTTTTTACTTTTTTCATGTCTTATGGATGCTACAGTTGTTGTTTTTGACTGGAATCTGATCCAATTTCATTTCATGGCTGTGTTGTGTGGTGAGTCATGTTTCAGTGGGAATGTGATGTGGAAATCCGGGAGCTGGAATAGTTCCGGTGAAAAAGTGGTCCGATTTCAGCATGATGAGCAACATCCCCTCCGACCGTGCTTGTGTGCCCTCACACACCTCCACTTGTCAAATGCCTCTGATACAAAGAAAATAATTAAAAGTCAAGTTGGCTCCTAGCAACCATTGTTTGTGATTCCTTGGCTGTTCCTTGTGTCCATATTTGTTGGATGTTTTTACAGTTGTTGTGTTTGGTGTGTGTATTTTGGAGCATTGATTTGTGAACTGGAAGGTTGTTCCCTCCCTCCCATCCCCAAATATTAGTTTAATTTCAGTTCAAATACAATGACACCTATCTTAAAAAATACTGCATCCTCACTGCCGTCTGTAGTTTGAAGAATCTTTAACATCCATTGAAACTTTTCATTGTTCAAAATATTCTTTGGTGGAAAACAAAGATTCATTAGATTTTTAAAATGTTACACTAAAAAAAAGCGGTTTATGGCATCTCTGCAAAATAAAAAAAAAAGTGTGTGAAGATTGAGAAATATTTTAAATTGGCAGATGTTGTGTATCATTATAGCAAACAGTGGTTTAGAAATTTTATTAGAATATTTGTGTATATACAGCACTTACAGAAGTGAACAAGTTTTGAAATCAGATCATTTCCAAAAGTGCTGTCAAATGTTAATTTTTTAAATGCATAAGCATACTTGTATATGTGATCAGTAACACAAATTTCCCGTGTTGTTTAATTCATGCTTTATAAAAAGAAATGGTTAGTAAAGTGATTTCTTATGAAGCTACAGCTTAATTACCATCAAACAGGTCTTTCTCAAAAATATTGCACCAATTTTAGTCCCCAGACATTCAAATATCTCTCTCTAAATAAATACTAAATAGTATCTATATAATACTAAAATAACACTGCTGTGTAATGGTGCTTTAGAACAATATATATTAAAATGATTAAATGGAAAATAAATAAACAGACAAAATTGACTACAATTCTCAAAACTGACTTATGTTAGGGCTGTTGCCAATTGTAACTGAGGTGGTGGTGGCAAGAGCCAAGCCTCCAGGCAGACCCAACGTGATGTTAACACAGTAATTGCCCGGCGTTTGGAAAATGCGTGTCAAGCTGATCTTGCATCCTTCGCCGTAAGGAGCCACGTCCTCACACACGATATTCTTGACCTCCCGACAGGCGGAGTTGGCCACTATGGTGCAGGCCACTGAGGGAACACTGAGCAAAGGAGAGATGATGCTCAGTTAAATTTATTGTATGTGTGTGATCCAGCGGCCATCTGTTGTAAATGTGACTGAATGTTTTTATATGACGGTGACATGCTGTGAAACGTCTCAGCTGCAGGGCTTCAAACGCTCACTGCACATCAGAATCATCTACATCTTATAAATGCTCTTCACTTTCGGGCTCGTCATGGTGAAGCACATAATCTCCCGTCTTTGTACTGCATATATTTGTGTTTGTGTGAATCTTACCTGCCTGAGCAAGTCACCATGAAGTTTACAGATGTGTTGGTCACTTTGTCAGCTGACACCTTTAAAATCTGATTGGCTGGCAGGTTCTGCAGAGCTAGAGGAGGTTCTGTAGAAACAGACATAAAAATAGATATTATAATTTAATTACTTTTTGAAAAATGTAATAATTAAAAGCTTTTGTATACTGGAGTACAATACAAAGTACAAAGTGTTTTTTTAATATAATTTATCATGAACTGCTACAGTTTTTGTTTATTTTTAAAATTATATTTAAATTATATATTTTTATATTTTAATTTTAGTTAATTTTAGTAATTGTTTTGGCATTTTTATTATTTTTTATTTTTTTATTATTATTTTATTCTTTGTTTTATTAAAAGATGCTTATATAGTTTGTTTTATTTATTTTAGTACTTAAAACAAAACTATTTTTTTGTATTTAGTTTTATCTACAGTTTTTGTTTATTTTTAAAATTATATTTAAATTATATTTATTTTTATATTTTAATTTTAGTTAAAATTTTAGTAATTGTTTTGGCATTTTTATTATTTTTTATTTTTTTATTATTATTTTATTAGTTCTTTGTTTTATTAAAAGATGCTTATATAGTTTGTTTGATTTATTTTAGTACTTAAAACAAAACTATTTTTTTGTATTTAGTTTTATTTCAGTTCATTTTCAGTATTAAATTTAAGGTTTTTATTTTATATGGAATATAAACTTCATCTCACAATTAAAAAACTTTTTTCCACAATTCTGACTGTTTTGTGTTTGTTTTCATAAATGCAGAATTCTGGCTTTTTTTTCTTGCAATTCAAAGTTTACATCTCACAATTCTGATTTTTTTTTTCTCAGAAGTGTGATTTTATCTCACAAGTTTTCTTTTTTTTGTTGTTTCCACCACAGAATAAAACAAAAAAGGTCACTTTGTATCTCACAATTCCAACTTTTTTCTTGCAATCGTGAGTTTATCTTTCACACTTGTGAAAAGTCCAAATTATGAGTTATAAACCTAGAATTAAAGCTTCCATAAGTTTACAATAACCCTGATATATACCAAAATCTTGCTTTTTTGAAAAAAGTGGTCCGACAATCTTCTTACCGATGATGATGATCTCGCCTTCAAAGGAGCCATACATATGGCGGAAACAGTCTGATTCCTTGAAATGTGTGTGTTTGATCATCGGGGGTGAGGTGGGCTGCTTATAGGTGGGACTGGCCTCAGGCACAGTGGTTGCTGTAATAGACGTCACCTCTGAATCGGTTTGGAATGGTTCGGTTGTTGGGACAGCAGTTGTAGAGACTCGAGGAGTGGTAGTTGGTGAAGGATTGGTGATGATGGGAGCTGGAGCGGGGATTAAAAAAAGTGTTAGAAATATAAAATGCATTGTAGAAATGTCCTTTAAGTGTTCTATTAGATATAATTATGTTTTTTCTTGCTTTAAACACTACTCGTCTCACCCTTGGTGGTCTCCATTTTGCTAGTGAATGCGTGAGTGCCAGACGGTAATGTAGGCATCTCTGCACACATGAAAGTGATTGAATTACTTTACAGAAAGACTGTTGGCTGGCCTTTAACATGACAGCAGTTTTAATAAGTTTGCTTTACTCCACGAGATGAATGGACACATTTTTGTCCTGATGGATAATAATGTATATGATATGTCTGGCTTGGATAATAGGATATCAGTTGTCTGGGAGAGTAAAGTGCCTGTGTTTATGAGATTACCCGTGGTATGAGCTTGTGTAAAGTGCATTGGTGTTGGAGTCGGTGGTGGGCAGGGCACACGGAACGATGCCTCCACGAGGAGCTTGACTGTAATATTTCCAAGAGTGTTGTACGCATGGGTTGCCACATTGCTGTGGGTGACCAACTGGTTGCCATCCCAAAAGTCCCAAATGAAGTCTACCGCATCAGCTGTCTTCAGATAGTTGCTTGGGTCGTGGATCTGGACGTTGAAAATCACATCTGACCCTCTGACAAAGACGTTTTTGTCAGTTATGCTGGCTGGATGCTTCTGGGAAATGTTCACGGAGAGTGGAATCTTATCTGGATGAAGAAAAAACATTTAAAAAATTGATCAATAAAAATGGAAAGGGTTTTTATGTATACATTAGGGCTGCAACTAACGATTATTTTGATAATCGATTAGTTGGTCGATTATCCCCCCCCCATTCTGCCCAATGTCCTTAAAACAAACATTCCAAATGAATGCTATGAAAACATACAGTGCTTAACAATTTATTAGACCACCTGCCATAACAAAGAGAAAACACATTTTAGGAATTTGTCCAAAAATTGTTTAAATCAAAAAAATGTTATTGTCATTTATTTATAACTAAATACTTTTATTTATTCACATAACAAAAATGGCCTCCTATGCCCTTCATAGCATGCTTTCTTGCTGGCATTGTTTAAGTACTTTTTGACTGTAATTGGGTATCTGAAAAAAAAAACACTATAAAACTCTCTGCCTTTCTTTCATAGATAACAGCAATAATTATATTATAGCATTAGAAACAGCCAACAAAAACTTTTATTTTGGATGCGATTAATAATATGACCACTTATATATACACACACTATCACCAGTCAAAAGTGTGGAATAATATGGATGATTTTTTTTTGTTTTTGTGAAAAAAAAGTCTCTAATGCTCACCAATTTATTTAATCAAAAATACAGTAATGACTGTAATGTTGTGAAATTATTAAAATTTAAAATAAATTCTCTACTAGAATATATTTAAAAATGTAATATATTTGTGTCATGGCAAAACAGAATCTTCAGCTTTTTTAATGTTTACATTTTTAAAAATGGTTCTCATTATATGTTGTAAACAGTTTTTGCTGCTTTATATTCTTTGTGGAAACTGTGATACTTTCTTTTCAAGATTATTTGATGAATAGAAAGTTCAATAAACATAATTTATTTGAAATACAATTTACTTGTAGCATTATAAATGTCTTTACTGTCACTTTTAATCAATTTAATGCAATCCTTCCTGAATAAAAGTATTTCTTTCTTTTTTTAATCTCTTAAAATGATAGTGTATCATTCCACAAAAATATTAAAAAGCACAACTGTTTTCCGCATTAATAAGAAGACATGTTTTTCATTTTAGCATATTAGAATGATTTCTGAAGGATCATGTGACACTGAAGACTGGAGTAATTGCTGCTGAAAATTGAATTATATAATAAAATTATATATTGATTCACTGATATTGATATAATATTTCATATATAAAATATATACATAAATTACTGATTAATTATATAATTAATTTTTTTTAAATAAAAATTATGTGCATATAAAATATCATAGTATAGTTTTGATCCTGCACAATAAATATGATTAAAACAAGACAAAAGTAACTAGCAGACCTGTTATGAAGAATACGGTACTGTCCGCAGAGAGTGGGCTGTACTTCCTGCGCTCACGTTTACGGTACACCATCACCTCCATCACACCAGCTCCAAACGTCATGTTAGTGGTGTTCAGGGTCAGATGGGAGGAGGAGCCATCACATGTCTCAAAATACTGGCCTGTGAGGGAAACCACAGGATGATGGTCCATTAGATTGCTTACACTATATGTAGAGTGAATTATTAAAACACTGATATGATTCAGGTCAGTGAATGACTGACACTCACCCATGGTGTGCCACACATACACATAGCCTCTACGTCTCCAGTCATTGCTCTGAGGAAAAGGCTTTCCATCAGGGAAAACATTGCACCTCTTCAGATCTGTACACTTTCCAAAGCCATAGTCATCCAACCAGGATGTCCAGTTAAACACGTATCCTGAAGGCACCTGTCCATTGGCTGAAAAATAAGTGAAGGTGTTAGGCACACAGATGAAAAAAAGCATTTCGTCCTTATTTGGGAATATAAATGCAACTTTTTAAAATACAGGTCATTTTTTTCCTTGCATTTGTACATCGTTTAGAGATTACAGGAGTATGAAGCACCTGAGGCCTCCATCATACCGTCGTCACAGTGCTCATCATACACCAGGTTGCCAGTGCTGTCCTCCTTCTGGCATGGTGGAAACTCCAGAGCTGCAGTGAACGAGATGCATGAGCCATTCATTGCTGGGCTGTCGCTCGTGAGGCGCACCCTCGGTGGTTTATCTGTGATGTTCACGAGAGAGCATCGAATGATTAGTGTGTATTAATATAATGGAGAAAATAAAATCAACCTCTCTTGCTAACACAAAACAGGGAACATTTAACAACGTAAGAAGGAACATGAGGTTTCAAACCGTTTATTTAATTTCCCCCCCAAAATATTTGAAGCTCTGAAATATTTACACAAACTCAAATAGATAGATGAAAAGAGGGCTTACACAATTTTAATATTATAAAAGAAAAAAAATGAAATATTCAAGCCTTTTCCCCCATAATTCCTTAAATCAAAATGTTTCAAACAAAACACGTTGTTTAAAATATTGTTTAAATTGGTAGTATTTTTTTCTCTTCTGTGGCCTTAGTATGAATTTGAATCTTGTCGAACTTTTGTAATATCACTTTAACCAATGAGGTCATAGTCGGAGGACGGAGGTGACATCATTTTGGTGGGAAAACAGAATCATAAATAACTAAGGGCTTGTCCAAATACCCACACTGCTGTCTTGGCCACTTGAGAGTGGTATTCAAGGCTAAGCTTGCATGAACAATGTTCTGGAAATAAACTGAGGCTTTTTGCCGAGATCTTGTGAGAGTTTGTGGAAACCTTTCCTGTGTAATTGAAATATTATGAATAATTAGATATTACATATAATTTGGTAGTAAAACAAAGTGTTACACATTTTATTGATGCAAAGATGAGTATGTTTATTTTGTACAACATTTGCAACTGCTTTTTATCAATTAATTAGAAGCACCACTTTTACTTAATTGTGTCATCTCTGAACAGACATTTAGAAATGTATTTTAAAATGCAAAATATTGAAAATCTAAATAAAGCTCTGTTAACACTTGCATTTTTACAACACTAAGAGTGTTCCATCGGGTAATGATAAGTTCTACACACAATTGTGGTCTTCATGCTCACTTGAACACTTGGACCAAATACAGGAAATACGTCATGAGACAAGTAGTCAAGTGCAAAGATCTCAAGTGTGGGTATTTGGACAAGCCCTAAGTATTTGCAATCTGATGAATTAATGTGTGGTATTAATTGGTTTGAGTTGCTCTAAAACGTTCCATTATGTTTGACAAAACTATCGAAATTGTTTTTGACAAATTATCTCGCTGTTGTGTAAATAATCACGTTAAAACATTTAATACATTTGGATACATTATATTAATACCTTTTGAGAGCCCGAGTTTGCATGGTTCACACTTTTATCAAAAATAATTTCTTATTCATCATTTTGTAATTTTGTGTAAGTTACGTAAATAAAACTTTACTGCAGGAATCTCTTACCAACTCTTACCATGTCTGCGATTCAGCTGCTGTTTGAAGGGGGGGTACAGAGATTCGTCCCAAGGGTTCGTGTCGGGGTCCCATCCAGGGATTGGGAATGGAATAGGGAGTTTGTGTTTGTGAGGGAACATGTCACCATAAGCTGCACGAATGACAGGGAACAAAAAATCTCAAGTGTGGGTATTTGGACAAGCCCTAAGTATTTGCAATCTGATGAATTAATGTGTGGTATTAATTGGTTTGAGTTGCTCTAAAACGTTCCATTATGTTTGACAAAACTATCGAAATTGTTTTTGACAAATTATCTCGCTGTTGTGTAAATAATCACGTTAAAACATTTAATACATTTGGATACATTATATTAATACCTTTTGAGAGCCCGAGTTTGCATGGTTCACACTTTTATAAAAAATAATTTCTTATTCATCATTTTGTAATTTTGTGTAAGTTACGTAAATAAAACTTTACTGCAGGAATCTCTTACCAACTCTTACCATGTCTGCGATTCAGCTGCTGTTTGAAGGGGGGGTACAGAGATTCGTCCCAAGGGTTCGTGTCGGGTTCCCATCCAGGGATTGGGAATGGAATAGGGAGTTTGTGTTTGTGAGGGAACATGTCACCATAAGCTGCACGAATGACAGGGAACAAAAAAAAACAAAAAAAACAACAACTGTGAAAGCCGTCTGAAACTGAAATGCACATGGATTAGTCATTTTAAATTTCGTAAAATATAACAGGTAAAGCTGGGCTTGTTACTTTCTGCTGGGATAAGAAACAGGCATAAAAATAAAAATAAAAAAAAACCCACTCTGAGAAATATTCACTGCAGGAGCGAAAAATGTGACAACTACCCGCAGTTGTTCCCTACATGAACTCATGAAATGTGCTGAATTTGCGCACTTAAATATCTTAGTTTATTTTGCATTATATGCTTATATAGGATACTGGATACTGAAAAAGAGTCTAAAATTGTGGACTGTAGCATATTCTTACAATTTGGTGATGAACAAACGTATTTTCACAAGACTCACTTGGCTACTCTCACGTAACGCGGATTGCCTAATTAATTTCATGAGACTGCAGCGCGCGGAAGAAAACAGCATTAATCCAACACAATGTAAAAACATTTCAAGTTAGCCTATGTATATTTGTTTTATTAGCCTCTCGTCTATCTCGACTTTGTATGAATGTGGAAGTCGGTAACAATTTTATAGCTTAGTTTACTCTATAAAATACTTTATAAATGGCACGTTATTATCTTGATATAACTTCGCTTTTGTAACAACGTCAACATTTATTTTATTATTTAAAAAATTATAATTGCTGATTAAATATGTAGCAATTATAATTATAAACATTCGGTTCCTACTTACTTTTTTTGCTGTTCGTTACAGGAACGAACAATGCCCAGGCCAGCACAAGCAACATTTCCAAATGCATCGTGACGATTTGTTGGATGAGAATGTAGATATAATTTATCCAAGGGCTTTTTTTTTTGGTTGTCCCCCTATGCCACTCCAGCTGCTAAATCTCACACCCCTCAACCCTCTTCTGCTCTCTCTCCCATCTCCCAGTCACCCGCACGAGCACTAATTTAATACAGCAAACATGTGACGTTTCTGTAACAAGACTCATCTGATTCTCAATTAGCATCTATGGGCGCGAGCTGGAAGGAGGGCTCGGAGTCTCATGTTGTTACTTTTCCCTTGTATTTCGAAACAGGCAATTTCAAAATCATCTTATTTATCTCCGATTGTGGGCTTTTTATGTAATATCTAAAACAAGTGGTAGCTATACACTAGCCTATTTTTAATCCCATATGAGGTATCCTTGATCTGTCTCAGAATCCTTTTTGAGAAAAGTGAGTTTTTTGTTGATTATTAAAAGTATCTTTGTATTGTTCATTTCATGTATTTTTGAGAAACACTTATACCATTGTCCTCAAAGTTTGTGACAATGGATACACTTGAGTGTACAACTTAATCGTTATTGTAAAAAATTAAACATGTTTCAATACATTTTCATGCTCATATGTTTTTTTTAAATATGTTTTTGAGTTACAAACGTCACTGACTTTGATTTGTGGAGAAATTTGTTTGAGGAAAAAAAACAAAACAAACGCTTTAAAAAAACAGATAAAACGACTTCACTGCTCCTAAACATTTATTATTTATTAATATTACCCCACAAAAAAGAGGTCTATTCAAGATATTGTGTTTTGCATTTGCATTCGAATACCTTATTAACACAATTAGGTGCACGATAAAAAAGAGAAAAATATTATGGCTGCAGCATAAAACTAAAATGATCTATGCAGGTGAATAAACATCAAATATCAACTATTAATAATGAATCAGAATCTTAAAGAAGGTCTTTTGAAGTTTACTATTGCCTACATTACACTATAGGCTATTTATAAACAATATATGGACTTTTTAGTGTTTTATATTTATGACGCCCACAATGTTAGTTGAAATTCGTATAACATGCTGCATATTTATAATCGCATATAGCCTATATTTAAAGAAATTGGCATTTGCGTGAAAGCACTCTCAGTTGTGTATATAGGCTGCACTCAATTGTTTGTGCTGTCTTAAAATTAAAACTTGCCGTCTCATTGCAAACCGTTAAAAACAATTTAAAAATCCGGATGTCATAAGATGTTAAGCCGTGATATGCACAGATCCGCGCGCTTTCAGGTGACAAGTCATTGAGAAACAGCCAGCTGGAGGTCAAAAGGATGAACGATTTGGGGAACATTTGTAAAGCGCAAACCCTCCTTGATTAATTTTAAATGAGGACTGAAAGAGTTAGCTAAAATACAGAAATGTTAACATTAGAAAAAGAAATTAAGAGGGTAGCTAACTGCAATATTGATTAGTCTAATCATAAATGAATGAAATCTCTCTATCAGCTCTGTTATCAGCTCCTGTTTACCCATAACGCAAACTGCCATCACATACTTTGATGCGTCTCTCACGAGCTCCGTTTGAAAGTTCCTTCCAGTTTTTAATGTAATCTGGCGTGACTTTCCATGACATTTACGTGACAGCACAGCACTCCTGTCCACCAGAATCGACACTGAAAAGACAGAAGAAAAACACAAAACACTTTAATAAAGAAAATAGCCTGTGTGTTAACTTCTATGCATGCTATTTCTAATTTTGTCCTCTGTTCAAGAACAGTCACGTCGTGATGTTTCATTTAGCCACCAGGGGCTCCTCATTCTTCACATGGTTTTCAGGTGAAGTTCAGAAACGCTCATTTTGAGCAAAATAACTATCTGAGTAGTCTATGTAATCTTTATAAATTCGGCTTATGCATTTTTTTTTAAACACAAGCACGATTAAGAATTACGATAATGACTTGTTAGCAAATTGCCTTATTTCAGTCCAAAATATTTTTTGTATGCTGTTTACAAGCAAATTGCATTATTTCAGTCAAAAGTAGGCTACTTTTATGCTGTTTACACACAGTAGTAGCCTAGTATTTTAGTCATAAACATTCCCACCATTGTCTTGTTTGGGTAGCCTATATATTGATAATTTCATAGTTAGCACTGTATGCATCCTAAATATATACAATAATACAATTGTATCAATGGTATTTTAATCTTTTTATATTATTTAAAAATGTTTTTCACTTGTTCCAAACTGAGGGAAGACCGCTGGGTGGCGCTACATAATCTGTTCACCCACTGAAAACAGACGAAGAAGAAACGTCACCGGAGTGACAGAGGTGAATTATTTTTACACGATTATTCTGCCTCGTGAGCTTATTAACTCTTTATACTTTGTCCGTTTCATTTGTTTAGTATTGTTTATAATTAATTTTAAAGTCATACTGAACACAAAACGGATTATTTAGTTAATAACAGGGTTTCATTGTTTACTGCTCACGTGTGTGAATGTCACTTCACATCAGAAACTCTCATTTAAGATTTCAGTGTTGTTGGATATTATTATGTAATTTCAATAACTAATCTGCTTTCTGTCTGATATTATTATCAGGTGTTTGACAGGGATCAGACCGTCATATCCGATCATGAGTGTCCCGTGTTTTGTGAGAACGGTGGCCAGAAGTTTCGCCGGTGGATCAGGACTGTTCAGACCAGCTGTTTGCTGTTCATGTAAAGACACAGTCACACGGTGAGTATCCAGAATCTGGAGCTCTTTCTAGAGGCTCTGGATGTAGTGGTTGTGTTTGAAAACCTAGTGAGCTGGCTACTAAGCAAAACTTATGTTGTTTAGCATGTAAGGAGCTCGATGGGTTTTGAGACGCAGCCAGTCATTTTTGCTTAACTTAAACTTCTCTAAACTGGTTTCAGAAAAATGTCATCAAGGAGACAGACTGACCATCTAGAGAGAACTGCTAGCGTTCATAGACAAATGGTGAGTCGTCTTAGATTTCTGTATGAAACCCTTGACCTGTTGACCATAGATTCCTCTGTGACTGCTCATAAATGGTTAACAAATGTTGTAGCCAAGTAGGTGAAAGTTCAGACACTTGTTCAGTGTTGTAGGTCAGCCAGTGTCATTTGATTTTTGTCATGAGGCTGAATTCAAGATGATGCTATCTATCTATCTATCTATCTATCTATGTTCATGCATTAGTAGCAGTGTACTCTATAGTGTTATTTCATTAACATCCTGTGCTGATTTTCTTGTCATGCTGTAGATTTTTTACACTTCAGTCAGTAAATGTGTGTACAGTGGTAAAAATGTATAATGGCTCCCATTTGTACATTCACATGGCATAATGCATTGCATTTAAAATACTGAGAGGCTGAAATGTTATTGTAAATTCTCTACCAAGACATGATGTTGTTTTGTGTGTATCCAGGAGCTTTACTCTGCACGTGTTAGTGACATTATGAATGAATCTGATACAGTAAAGAGACTGAGACTGGAGGTACCACATCCTGACTTCAGCTTCCGTGCTGGGCAGTGGTAAGAACTTTGTGAAATATGTATTAAAAACATCTAATATAGATGACAATACTAATATCTGATTATACTGGATTATACTGATATCCAGTGTAATATGATGGGGCTCTGGGGGTTCACAAGACAATAACAAGTTCCTAGGGAATACTGTTCGTAGATGTTACATTTTCACTTAATAATGCATAGATGCAAACTCCTCACCTTTAGGTGACAACTCACTTTTTTCAGATCAAAATAGGTCACCTATGAGATTTGGAAAAGTAAGACTGATAACCACTTGGCAACTGCTAGTAAGTGTTGTATTCTATTTTCTTTACTCTTTACTAAACTGTCTAAAAAGGGTAATATTTTATGTATTTGAGGTCTGAGATGTGGGAACAGGGAAGAGAGAGAGGGGAAACATTTTGCATTTTAGGTCTAATCAGCCAACATTGTCTTAAATAGCCTGCATAGCACTTCATCTTTTATATCATGGGATTTTGACCAAATATATTCAATCTTGATTTTTGTAAAATGTTGCAACAAGATGTTTTTTTTTGTGTGTGTGAAAAATTACAGTTTATAAGGTAATAAAAATATTTTTAAAAATACCTTAAAGTAACTACAATTGAGCATGTAAAACAACTATCTTAAAAAAAAAAAATTCCATGTGGAGCATGCCCCTGGATCTCACCTTTTTTCCCCCTTACCTGTTTGCATCTCTGATAATGACTAATAGTTGGGAAGACATGCAATTTGCAAAATGGACACGAGATGGCGCTTTCCTCTCAGACAAAATTCTCACTTCAGCGTGAGCTCTGTTATCAGCAAACCATGCAAAATAATAAAAATGTATTCTTACATCTACCTCTCCTCACACTTTCTCTCTCACTTCTGCTCTCGTTCCCATTGTGCCTTATTGCATTTGTTGTGAATGTGTGTGTGAGTTTTGAGAGAGTCTGAGTGAGGTGAAAAAGTCAGGCGATGATTTATGCAGATGTATGCACAGAAACTCCTCCAGACCATATGATGTTGTGTTCCTGCTAAAGAACATGAGGAACATGAGTCAGGGAGAGCAGAGCGAGTGGGAGTGTGTGTTTGTTTATGTTTCCCCGACATATGTGCTTATCACTTATTCATGCTCTGTGTACACATATGGTGACTCTCAAAGCGTATTGTGTTGCTTTACTTTATTTCAATGAAGTATTATTGACATACGTAATACTGGACACATGGGTTTAGTTGTGCTGGCATGTTACTCTGTGGGAAGAATCTGCTTCTGTCGACTTTCTAAAAGTACTTTATGTAGTTGTGTTGTTAGTTTTGAGTGTGTTAGATTTGAGTCATTAACATGTGGAGTCAATGCATAAGGTAAGCAGTTAAGTTCATATAATATATGCCAGCAGTGTTTCATATATTACATTATATAATATTTGAATCGCAACATTTTTCACAGGGTGGATTTCTTCATCCCAGGTGTGGATACAGTGGGCGGCTTCTCTATTTGCTCGAGTCCTGGTCTGCTGCAGAGAGAGGGAGTGATTGAACTGGCCGTCAAATACACACGCCATCCTCCAGCACACTGGATTCACACCAAAGTGAGTGAATGAATTAAAAAGTATATATACACTACTATTCAAAGGTTTGGGGCTGGAAAGG